AGAGAACTCTTAAAGCCAGGGTAAAATAGAAAGTCTCAGCAAAGTAATAAAACCTATCTAAAAAATTTAAAAAACAAAAAAAATGGAAATTTTAGAAAGGAAAAACATAACAACTGAAATTAACAACTGACTAATGGGCCAACCCTATGGCCTACTGGTTAAAGAAGCCCAATTCTACATGACTGACTTCAATGAGAATCCCAGACTCAACAGCTTGAAAACATGCCGGGCATGTGTGCACATGCGCTCCAAATCCCAACAGGTAGAGAAATGGAAAAGGGAGTGCAGAATAGCAATACCCTTTAGGGAAGTTTTCTCTCTCTCTCTCTTTTTCTCTATGATAAGTATACAAGTCCTCTGGCCTGATTTTTTTTTAAAAAATTGTATCACAGTTGTGATGGTGGCTACATAAATCTATACATGTTAAAAATTTTTTTTGAACTTTCAACATAATGGGTTTGTATTTAACATAGTACTTCTGACCATGGGAATGTAACCCAACTAATTAATTAATATAAATTTTTGTTTATATTAAATCTCTTCTCCATTTCAATGTTAATATAAAGGTTTTTTGACATTAAATCTCTCTTCCTTTTTAATATTAGATATATTGAATACATTTTTCTAAACTTTTGTCCTCCAGAGATAAAGGTTTCAATTTATGGTTAGTTGATATCTAAGTACAATATTAACTTGAGAGATAACAAAACAAAAATCCAATAAAAATACAGAGAAAGACTTCTCATTGGTTTAAGAGGCAATGATGACAACTTCCAGAAACTTCCCTGGATTTTAAACAAGGACTTCCTTATTTCATATGCTTGAGGATACCAAAACTATGAAATATTACTGATGTAAATTATAGCCATCTTACTTCTTTGACCTCCTTTCTAACCAGCAAGCACAAAATTATAGGCTGCATTTTAAAGTACATTAATTTGTTGAAAAAAAAATTTTTTTTTCACGCTAAGACATCAATGTGTTCCCATTCTACAGAAATAGCTAAGAATGTGAAACTACTCCATACCATTTGGGAGAACTTTCAGACATCAATACTTAGGTTTAGTCTCAACTGCACAAAGGTTTTCGGGGCGAAGCTTGATTCAGAAGGCCCATTGAAGTCATATCTGTCCAGTTCTCTTTCACGAATATGCACCTAAGAAGCACAAATGCCTGTCATGCTGAGGAACACATAACAAGAGCACAATGGCATCTCAGCTTCCACAAAAGGCAGCACCAAAAGCAGTGAAAGGAGCACTAAGACCAACTGTGCTGAAACTGAGGTCACGGTGTTGGGATCTGGAGGGCCGTAGGTTCCAAAGAAATGGTACATATATATAATTCTATCTTATTTGAAATATTCCCTTTCTGGAGCTCCAGATGCTGAGGCTATGAGGTTCCACGTGACATCACCTTCCAGGAAGCAGCCATTCAGGAATCTCTATACATGTTAAAATGTATAGAGCAACTGGGACCAGCAGATGACATAATCATTACATTGCTGGACTCCCACATAGTCGACTGCAGTTCAAGTCCTGAACCTGGCAGCTTAAAACTCATGCCGGACACATGTATGTATGTGCCCAAGATCCCAAGAGGAGAATGGAAGACAAAGGATTGTGGCTTGGCCATTCTCCCTAGGGGGTGATTTCTTGCTTTCTGTCACTCTGTCTCTCAGGTGAGTGCATGTACCCTATAGCAAAAATCTCTCAAAAAAAATTCATAGAGCTATATAGCAAAAGAGTTAATAATAACAATAAAGAAACACGTATCAACTGACACTCTAGCACATAGATGCACAACACAATTAACATTTACTGCATTCATTTACAGATGATGGTGAAGATCACTCTTGCCCAAGCTCCATGCTGCCCCAGCCTAGTTAAATTACTGTCTGTTGGCTGATTATGTGTACGTAAGCAAGAATGACTGTCCTAGAGAGAGGGCTAATCAATTATAGACAGACTTTAGGGCACTTTAGCCATCACTGACACAGTGATCTTTGAGGTTACTGGGTCAAAAAGCTTTCATTTCACACACAACATAATCCTTTTGAGGAACACTTTAACAAATACCTGTTCATAGTTTCTCTAACTGCTACCTCTTTCCTTTTCTGATTTTCATTTTTTGCCTTTTAAAATTAAAATATAAAAATTTTTATTGTCTTTTTTTTCTTTTTATAATTTTTTTCTTCTTTTAATTTTTTTTCTTCTTTCCTCTTTTCTTTTCCTTTTTCTTTTAACTTCATCCTTCGGCGACTCAGCCTCCTTGCACTGAGTGTCTAGACAGGTCTAAGAGAACAGTACCCAAAAGGGTAAGAATATTCCTCAATTCCCTCTGAATCTGACACGCAGAGTGAATAATGGGATGGAAAAGAGATTGCAGATCACCTCCTCCAGCACGCCTCTGAACAATTAGATTGAACTTAAAAATTAGGAAGAAATGCAAAACCCATCAGATGACCAGAAATCACGACAGGAGCATAAGAATTATGAGAAAGCAAGAAAATACCATTCCTCCAAGGGAAAAGAATAACTCTTCTCTATCCACAGATAGTACAGTGGAACTCATGGAAATGTCAGACAAAGAATTTAGAATATTCATAGTGACAAAGCTAACAGAGATGCAAGAGAAGAGAGACAATGAACTCCAGAAGACACAGGAGAAAAGAGCTGATGATTTCCAGGTGAGGAAGTTCTTGCATGATCTGAAAGAGGAAATATACACCATAAAAATAATCAAATGGAGCTGTTAGAGATGAAGGATGTAATACAAGAAATCAAAACCTCTCTTGAAAGCATGAAAAGTATAGATCATACAGAGAATCAAATCTCAAATGTAGAAGATAGAATCACTGGCCTAAAAAAATCCATCATGAAGACCTAGAAAACAGCTCCCCCAAAATGAGAATATATGAGAAATACTAGATACCATTAAACATCCAAACTTCCAGATAATTGGTATCCTAGAAGGTGAAAAGACAAATAAGGGCATTAATAATCTATTACCTGAAATCCTGGAAGAAAACTTTCCAAACCTAGAGGAGTATTCAGAGATCCAGTCCCAAAAAATACAAAGGACCCCAAATAGAATCAACCCAAGAAGATCTTCTCCAAGACACATTATAGCCAGATTGACCAAAACCACCGACAAAGACTAGATACTGAGATTGACAAGAGAAAACTATCAAGTTACCTACAAAGGATATCCCATCAGGCTAACATTGGGCCTCTTATTGGAAATAATGCAAGCAAGAAAAGAATGGGAAAATATATTCAAAATGTTAAGGGAAAAACTATTTCAACCAAGAACACTGTGCCTGGCAAGATTATCCTACGTATGAGAAGAAAAGATAAGAACATTTTCAGATAAAGAAGACCTAAAAGAATTTACCAGCACCAGACCAGCTCTCCAAGTTTTGAAGGGAATGCTACCCCAGGAAAACTAAATACAGGCACACAGAAATATAGTTCTAAAACAACTAAGAAAATGGCCAACTTAATCATAGGGACAAGTCTAGAGTTGAATGCTATGTTCCAGAATTTAAACGGGAAGATTGGACCACAGCAGAAGATAAAGTACATGAGTCTGAACTGGTGAAATAGAATCTTATGACTTTTAACTAAAACAGTACTGATTTTCTTCTATGCTTTGTTTTCCAGATTCAAGGATTTTTGTCTTGTCTTGAGCTGCTGATAGGTTCATGCACCTACTATTTGAACAGAATCCTAACCTGTTTCCTAGCTTTAAGTTTTAAGCAAAGCTCTCTTAGCATTTTTAAAATTTTGATTTATTAAAGCTAAAACTGCTTTTCTTGACATTAAAAAATATGTTAAAAAAATTCCAATTTAATGACCTCAGTAAACTATATAGTATCAGCTAGGTGCTACTATATAGTATATTCATTCTATTCAGAGCTTCAGCTGAACTTGCTATTGAAAGTAGTTAGATTAATTATTTTGTGAATCAATAAAATGGGGGGGGAAGGAATGGAAAGCAACTGTAGACACCAGAGACAGTGTGGGAAGAGGGTGGGAAATGATAGAGGGTGAGAAATAGGGAGGAAATATATATAAATACATATACATATGAAACAAAAAATGGGAAATTATTTGTCGATGATAACATGTATGATTAAGCTACTATGTAGTATTTTTTGGATGGGAAATCACATTTTGTATGCTTTGATGATGCTCACTGAATGAACGTAAAATAAATGAATTCTTAACAAAAGATAAATAAATAAATAAATAAATAAATAAAGTTAAATAAATATCTCCAGGCAATCAGTTTTTTTTTTTCCTTTGACCACTGTGCTCAATAGATTGATGAACTAAAAAAAGACAAAAGAGGCCAACATGACTCAATCTCTGGATTATTGATTGAGCTATGGAATAAATGAATTCTCCTTTTTTATTGGTTTTGAAGATGGAATCACAGCACTCCAAGGATAGCCAATAACCACTTGTCAATGATAAGGGGAGAGCCTACAGACAGAGAGAAAGGGGCAGAGAGATGAACTGGAGAGTGAGACTGGACATGGACGTATTCTTTGTTTTTTTCAATCCAGTGCTTCTCAAATGTAACTGTGATATAAAAATCCCAGAACCTTCTCGGTCTGGTTGCATCTCCAGGAAGTCTAGGAAAACTGTTCTAATCTCACCTGAAGGTAGCCAAAATACTAGTTTTCAGGAGTATGAACCAATTGGCTTCTTTTATACCTAAAAGAGAATGTAACTCTGATTCATTATTTGACAATAAAAGCATCTGAACTGGAAGTGGCCAAATAGGTTTATGTCCTTTTGCTTTATTCGATCTTTTCTTTTAGAGCAGTCAGTATAAACTCCAAATGGAAAATGTTATTTACATACTTCTGATGAAGTTCAAAGGACAACCACCCTTAGGATTTCCAGGACAATCTGGGAAAAAAAAACAGGTTGAGAAATACATCTGTTAACCTCTTCCCTCTGCTTGCTCCTCCCTCTGGCCCTTCTTTCTTTGATTAAATAGACCCTAGAACACCTTTCCAAAAAATACTCTCCCTGTAGTGTTTGGAATCACTTCTACAGGGGTAAAGCTTCAGACTCTCTCCAAAATGTACCTCAGTGCTGCAAATCACCGCATACCTCTAAGTGACGGAAATAGCATTCCCATCATAGGACTTGGTACCTACTCAGAACCTGCCTCGGTAAGTTTATATCTCTGTTTTGGGTTTTTTTTTTTTTTTTTTTAAAGAATTATTTATTTTATTTTATTTATTTATTTATTTTTAACTTGCTATAGGGCACATGTGCTCATCAGTGAGAGAGATAGTGAGGAAGCAAGCCATAGGTCTGAAACTCAAACCACAATCAGTCATGTGGGAGTCCAACACCCTAACCACCATGTCACCCGCTGGCCACATTTTTTGGGTTTGTTAATATTTGCCTAAAGTATAATCTGTAATTCATTATGAGTGAATCTCATCGGTTATGGCAATATGTTAATCTCCAAGGACTACTGTTTGCTTGAATGAGTATTGTTGAGCCAAAAGTTGAACCCAAATCAGTTCATGATTAAAAATTAGTTTCAAGGGACCAGCAGATGGCATAATGGCTACGTCGCTGGACTCCCATGTAGTTGACCACAGTTCAAGTCCCAGACCCAGTGGCTTAAACTCAGGACGAGTGTGTGCATGCGTGCCCAAGATCCCAAGAGGAGAATGGAGGAGAAAGGATTGTGGATGCCATCTCCCCAGGGGGTGATTTTCTCTCTGTCTCTCTTTGTCTTTCTGGCGAGCACATGCATCATATAGCAAAAACCTCTCCCCCCCCAAAAATTAGTTTCAATTAGAAAATGAGACTTTTGGGCCTAGCAGGTAGTATAGTGGTTAAGGCACTGGACTCCCACATGTTCAACCAGTTCAAGTCCCAGATCTGGCAGCTTGAAACTCACGCCAGCACATGTACATGCATGCCCAAAATCCCAAGAGGAGAATAGAGAAGGGATTGTGGCGTGGCTATCTCCCTGGGGGATGATTTCTCACTTTCTCTTTCTCTGTCTCTCCCTGTCTCTCTGGTGAACACATGAACCCTATAGCACAAATCTCTCTGAAAAATAAAAAAGAGAAGAAAATGAGACTTTTCTCCTCTCTTTTCTAAAATTCAGCTGGATATTGTACTAGAGCAAGCTGCGACGTGAAATTTGTGAGTTAATGGCTTGTCATTGTTTTAAGTTTGTGTTTTGAGAATTTTTAGTTTAGTCTAATAAACAGTGAATAACTGCCATCTAAATGCTATGTTAGAGATACTTTAAAAATGAAGAAAACTTTGGCTCTGCCTTTTAGGGATGAAAAAACTTATAGTGAGACAGGTAGTGGTACAACAGGAAAACACATCACTCTGTGAGACTGACCCACATGGGAAGGTCCTGGGTTTATATCCAGAGCCCTCCCTGAGTATACGAGGCATGTAAGTATACCATAATCCAAGGCTAGCTGAGGCTGGGAGGTGGATCATGGCACCAAGACCCTGTCTTTTGGGGGCCAGCATGTGGCATCATGGTTAAGGAGGCCAAATCCCACATGACCTGGATGGGTCAAGTCCCATACCTCATGGCTTGAAAAACACAGTGGGCTCATGTGTGTGCCCAAAATCCTAAGAGAAGAATGGAGAAGGTACTGTGGTGTGGCCATCCCACTTAGAGGGTGATTTTTTACTTTCCTTTTCTCTGTCTCTTGGGCAAAAATATACACCCTATGGGGGAAAAAAAAAAAACCACTTTGTCTTCTGTCTCTATCTCTGTGCCTCTCCCTATGTCTCTCTCACTCATGGAAGAAATAAATACAAACTTTAAAAATATATAATGGAAGAGTGGTGTGGTGGTTAAGGACACTGGACTCCCACATGGCCAAATGTGGTTCAAGTCCTGGACCTGATAACTTGCTTTCTCTCTCTCTCTCTTTCACTCTTTCTCTCTCTGGTCAAATTAAAATAAATAAACGAAGTTAAATAAATAAAAATAATTCTTTAAAAAAATAGATAATGGAGGAAGCAGGCTCTTTAACAATGAATAGTAGAGCAGTGAAATAGGTCAACATCATCCCAACACTACAAACAATATCTCTCTGAAAGGAAAGGAAATAATTAACTCTAACCATGAAGATTGAAATGGATTCCTTTAAAACATGATAAAGTTTTTACTTATAAGAATAATATGTTGGGGGGGCTCCCGCCCCCCCAGCGCAGCCGCGCGCCGGGCCCTCCCTGCCTCTCTGGCCCGGGATGGCCCGGAGGCCGAAAACAAGGTTGAAGAACTTGCAACTTAAGAAGATGATAGTTACCAGCCCTGCATTACCTCAGGGGAAAACAAGAACTACTCTGCCATTTTTAAGGAAGCCAGATACCCAAGGACAACTCACACTGCAGACCCCCACAACACCATTCCTGGTAACTACAAGATGACTGCTGTGCCGCATCAGCTGATAATTATCCCTGTGTACCAGAACTGCTTTCCTGAAACTGCATTCCTTGGAGACTCACCTACACTTGTGGATCTGCCGGAGACCCTTCCTTATCCAACCCTGAGTGGAGTTTATGCTCCCTATTACCAAAAACTTTATGAGCTGATGGTTGGAACTTGTGGCCTCTCTCCCTTTACTTGTATGTATCACTTTTTCAGTAACTCTTCTGGAAGACAACTGTATATAGCAGGGATATTGTAATGGGAGAGTGAGACAGGGCAGAGGGACAAACATAGGAAAAATTTAAAAAATAATAAAAAAAAAAAGAGAGGAAGAGGAAAAAAAAACATATATATGTGCATAAGCAAGAAAGTAGAAGTGGAATATTATTGATGATAACATGCTTGATTGGGTCACTGTGCAGTCTATTCTAGATGGGAAATTACATTTAGTATGCTGTGATGATGCTCAGGGAATGAATGTTAGGGAAAAAAGAAAAAAAAAACGAAAACAAAAAACAAACAAAAAAAAACGGTTAAACTATTCGTACCATTTAAAAAAAAAAATTGGATATTTGATGGCTGCAGTGAGCGGTATGGGCCCAGTTGGGTTCTACTTTATAGTATGCTCTTTTTACCCAATGGGGTTTAGGCCTAAAGTCAGACTTGAGTTCATGTAGAGGCATGTGTCAGCTGTGATAACTATTGGAGAGACTTAGACTAATTAAGATCACTGACAGATCATTTGGGGAGGGGTGAGGCACGGAGGGCAATCGGGGATGACAGGGACAATGTGGGAGGAGGATGGGTCATAACAGAGGGAGGGGGATGGGGAATCTAGGATGGTAAAACAAAAGGCAAGGTATGCAGGACACAAGAATTGGGAAATTATTTGCTGAGAACATATATGTTGACGTGCTTGATTGAGCCAATGCACAGTGTATCTTGGATGGAAAATTCATTTGTGTGTTGCGATGGGAAAATAAAATTATAATAAAAAATAAAAAAAATAAAAAAATAAAAAAGAATAATATGTTGGGAACCAGCAGTTAGCATAATGGCTATGTCGCTGGACTCCCACGTAGTTGACTGCGGTTCGTGTCCCGGACCCGGTGGCTTAAAACTCATGCCAGGCGCATGTGCATGCGTGCCCAAGATCCTGAGAGGAGAATGGAAGAGAAGGGATTGCAGCGTGACCATCCCCCCTGGGGTGGTGATTTCTCGCTTTCTGTCTCTATGTCTCTCTCTGTCTGTCTGGCGAGCGTATGCGCCCTATAGCGAAAACCTCTCCAAAAAAAAAAGAATAATATGTTTCCCTGGGACCAGCAGAGGGTATAATGATTACTCCACTGGACTCTCACATAGCCGACCGTGGTTTGAGTACCAGACCCAGAGGCTTCAAACTCACACCAGGCACATGTGCATGCATGCTTAAAATCCCAAGAGGAGAAAGAAGGGATTGAGGCATGGCCATCCCCCTCAGGGGGTGATTTCTCCCTTTCTGTCCCTCTGCCTCTCTCTGTCTCTCCAGCGAGTGCATGTGCCCTATAGCAAAAATCTTTCTTAAAAAAAAAAAAAAAAGATATGTTTTCTTATCACAGTTAAACATTAAATGCTGGCTATCAGAATAAACAGTGGTCAGGGCCAGCAGGTGGCATGGCAGTTTAAGGACTGGATTCCCACATGGTTTCTCACTTTTCCTTCCTTTCTCTCTCTGGTGAAATTGATTAAAAAAAATAATAATAATAATGACAAATGAAATTAAATAAATAGTTTTTTGAAAAAAAAAAAAGAATAAATAGTGATATGTGTAGAAAAGCTACTGAAACATGAGTGATCACATAGAAAAAAAAAATCTGTAAAGCAGAATAGTAATTAGCCATGCAGAAAGGCAGAGCTGAGGCACAGCATTTTAGGAGCAGGGGAAGCATGGAGGTACAAGCATACATGCTGTGTCCATCCAGCCCATGCCCAGTGGCTGCTACGTGGAGTTGATGCTAAAAGTTATGGTGACTGGGTCTGAAAACGCAAGGTGAAATTGGTTTACTGAGAACCTTGACTATCATGCTAAAGAGCTGGAGCTTCATTCTACAGAACTGACAAATCATCTAAAGTTTATGAGCAAACAATAACATCATCAGATCCGTGCTTTTAAAAGCTAACTCTGCTGGTAGCATGGAGAATAGAAAGCAGAGGAAGAGAATTAAGCTATGGATACCAAGAAGAGTTAACACTACTCTTCAAAAGCAATCACTTTTGTTGGGGCATGAGGTGGGTTTTGTTTTATTTCTTTGATGAGAAAGGCAGTGTCCGATGCCCCTATAGTCTTCATGTCATGATCCACACTCGGTCTCAAACATCCCAGATCACAAGCATGCACAGACCTGGTGTGGTCAGGGAGATTCTGGGACACGAACCCCATTGTGTTAACATGTTAATACTGTGCCACTACCTGGCCCCAAGCAGTCACTTCTGTGTCATTTCCCACAAGAATGGTAACTTCAGAAGACAAGACATACGCCAAATAGAGAATATACTGCAAGAAGAAAATTACTAGAAATAAAGATTGTGCATGCACCAACCACAAGTAAAAGATGGGGTTAACAAGTTTGTCTCTTGGAGCCAGCAGATGGTGTGGTGGCTAAAATGCTGGACTCCCAGGACCAGCAGATGGCATAATGGTTATGTCACTGGACGCGCATATAGTCAACGGTGGTTCAAATCTCAAACCAGAGGCTTAAAGCACAC